ATTCCACCATTGCTTCTTCTATTGCTCAGGAAATTGCAATCCCCAATCTGCAGCTTGAAAAGCATGTTGCCATGGAAATGATGCTTATGCTGTCATAAATAAAAGTATTCCAGGGTCACCAGGGTCTGTAGCATAAACAGGGGCACAAACACTGCCTGGAAAAGTGCCAGAGTGCTTTAAACATATAGGAAGATAATTTTAATGGTATTTTGCTTTCACTGTTATCATCAGAAGGACTGATGAAGGTTAACACATAGCTGTGACCTTGGCACAAAAGCGAAGCAGAAAAAGTCTTGCTCCTGGTATTAATAAGAGTAGAGAAAACTGTATCACAGCTCTCCTGGCCAGTGTTCCCCAGCTCAGTCAGAGCACTGTTCTTTTCCCACTGCATCTCTCACACATTCAGCAGTGAAATTTCATTGTATGTTCAGGGCACTTTATTGGATTCATGAGCACAGGAAAACCAGTTGATCCTGTGAAATGCTGTGTCATGGACTACCTGCTGATGCAGTGAATATTCCCTCATTCTCTGGCTACATCCCACCTACAGCCCAGGAAAACATAGGAAATTGCTCTTTTCCTTGGAGGGGAGACACTTTTGAAGAAGATCCCAGCTGAGGGAAGGAGCCCATGTGCCTTTCACTGCTCCTGTGAGAGAGCAATGACAAACAACTCCCTGCAGGAGTATGGACACAGCTCCAAAGGAGAAATCCAGAGGCCAGCAACACAGAGGGTTTGGATGTGTTGGTTCTTGTGAGTGTTCATGAGGAAAGCAGGCAGTTACTGTTTCTGGTGGGTTCTTAACTGTTCAATGGACTGCTCAATGGCATTAAATGGGCCATACCCTGAAGCTGCCTTGGGCAGTATCAGATCAAGGATACACAATTTTCTCTCTGTGTTTTTAATACCCATACAAGCATTTCCAGCACAGGCAGTCACTTTAAATAAAACTACAAGAGATTGCAAATGCCACAGCTTGCTTATTTACTTACTGTCTCTTAGTCTGCCCAAAATGTGGAAATAATGTTTCCAGAGATGCTCGAATTCATGTGCCTGTTGAGAATCCTGGCTTCTGTCCTGGATGATATTGCATATTCAAGGGATGATTCACTCACTCCTGAGAGGGAGGAAGGACTGTACCAGCTGTACCACCTCCCCGTGGCTGACTGACAGCCTGGTGATGTTTCCACAAGGAAGCCTCATGCCTCCAGGTTAAGCCAGCAATTATGGAACAAACAAAAGAGAAGTGAAATGGAGAGATGAATCACTGAGAGACCAAACAAAAGAGAACTGGAAAGGTGATGCCAAAGCCAGAATCACAAAACAAAAACAAAGTCTTCATTTGTCTCAGCCCAAAATGTCTAGAGTGGATTCTGCATTTCTTTTTTGTGTAAATCAACAATGTTCTTTGCCATCTGCAAAGGGAGGATTTGGAAAGGACCAGCTCAGTTTTTAGGGCTTTCTCACCTCACTCCTGTGAGAGGCTGGTAAAACCTACAATCAGCAGCCCTTGGTTAAAACCAAGAGGACCCAACCCTAACACTCTTGACTGGTCCATAAACCGACTCAAAAGTCCAAGAAGTAGGTTTTCTCCGTTTGTACTCCAATTTTTAAAAAAGCTTTCATCCCTGTTGGGACAGGAACTGTGTGGGATCTGGGGCTGATACCATGTGCATTACACACCTCAGCATGGATTTGTCACAGCAGGGCTGGCCAGGGCTTTGAAGGCAGCTGACAGCTCCCAGCTGGCCAGGAACTCACTCGCGTGGCCTCTGCAGCTTCCTAATGGGAACAGGGTGGAAAACCTGGGCTCAAAGGTTGCCCAGAATGACTAAGAGAGGAAAAATCCCTCCTGCCACTCCTGTGCTAATCAAAGGGGTGTGGAGGAGAAGTTTCAATTCCTCACTGCCAAAGAGGAAAATAAGATAAATATATATGTGTATATATATAGAAATTACACAGCCAATTCCTGTATTAAGGAAGAAGCCTTCATGCCATTAAAATCAGTCTTGAAATAATCATGCTGGTGGTGTGGGGAAGCTGAGCCAGATAGCCCAAGCTCCCTTGAAATGTCTTTCAAACACATCTAATCTGTTTACTCCTGGGTTTTACTGCTGGCAGTACCTGGGACTTCGCCTCTGAGATTTCCTACAGTTTGTAATCCCAGCAGGTCAAAGTTCCCAAAGGTGGGGAGAAGAGAAAAGGCAATCCCTTCCCTGCCTGTAGCAAAGGTATGTGCCTTGGGGCTACTAATTTAGGACCAATGAATCAGGAATAAGTCACATAAAACCGTCCAGCAGTGGTGTTTACAGAGCAGCTCCTCTGAGCAGACAAAGGCGTGTGCCAACAGGGAAAGTGCCCTGTAGTTTGTGTGGCTATTCCAACAGCTTTTGCAGAGATGTGAACATGTTGCCAGGGAAGCAGGAGCCTGTACAGATAGAGGTGCCCTCCTGCTCTGTACAATGGGAAAATGGAGCTGCCCCTGCACTCCCCGCTTTTTGTTTTCCTCTTTGCATCTTAAAAATAGGCAGAAAAGGCAGTTCTTCCAGAGGCTGATTAATGGCCCTTCTGCACAAACTGCATTTTGCACATATTTAAAAATCTTGAGCTAGATAACTCTTTGACCTAAAATATAATAGGTTCCTTTTTTTTTTCCTGATAGTGTCCAACATTTGTACATTTTCATACCTTAGTCCTTTCTAACTTGAAGAACAAAGTGGCCAGGCTGTGGCTGTGGATGTGTGTGCACCCCCTGCACCTGTGAGGCTGCTGGCTGCTCTGAGACATCACTAGCCCAGCTCTGGGGCTCACCAACACATCTCAGACCAGTGGGAGAGATGTCCCAGCCTGGCACCAAGAGGCCCAGGAAATGTGCCCAGCACAGCTCCCATTCCCATGGGGCTGGGATGATCAATGTCATGCCCTGCCTGTGAACCATTCCCCAAATTTTCTGTGTGTGTGATGTGAGACCAGGTTATATTAAGCCCACTGCTGAAAGGAGCAGGGACCATGGCTCCCATGGGCACATAGCAACAATGCTACAGAAAGAGTGAAAAATTCAGGGAACAAGTGGCACTGTAATCCATCTTACCTACCCGGAATAGATGTATCCATGTACTGATCTCTATAAACACGCCCTTTTTTCCATATGGGTGGGTATATATTTATATGCACCAGCCTCAAAATACCAGTAAGTTTTTATTAGCCCCATTTGCAGATGGGGTGATGATGACAGACAAAGTGCTTTGATCCCTCTAGGCTGCTCCTCCTTGGGAGGGGAGAGCTGGAGCCTTCTCTCCCCAGGAGAGGTAACAGAGGGAGGTGAGTTCTCCCAAACCCCCAAGGAGCTCCTTGGTGTGGAAATCTTGCTCAGCTCTCACTTGGAATCGTGCTGGCAAATAAACATGAAAGTGAAATCAGCATTGTGAGATAGTTATGCAAGAGCGGGCGGATCCCAGGACTCAGCCATTGTTCCAAAAGTTTAATTAACATTATGAAAGCTGATTAAAGGAAAATCTTTAACCTCCAGGGAAATCCCATTTTCCCTCACTTCCCATACTGCTGTAATTTTCACAATGTAAGAAGGAAAGTGTTATTTCAAGGCATGATTCATATCAGCTACAACCTGATCTTTGCCACAGTCATGTCCTGCATCTTAAATAATCACCAGCAGTGACACCAGACGGGGACACTTCTGAGACAGCATTTTTCCCCCTTTATCCCATGACCTGAATTGCCATCATAATTTCTAGACTTTGTGTCATCCTGGCACGACAACAAGCATTCACCCACGCTCCAGAAGTAAAAGTTGGTTTCACAAGGACAGTGATACCTACCCAGACTCAGCATCTCAGATACAAAGTGCGAGTGACACGCCACAGTCCAGCGTGGTAACAGCAGGGGCTGTTTGCTTTGGTCATCACAGCAAATTCCTTTGAAGGCAGGAGTGTGGAGCACCATCCCCAGTGACTCCCACCTAACCTTGAGCCAACTACTTACCCTTGCTGCTCTTTTGGAATTGGGGGCAAAGGCAGTGTTGCCTCTCAGGGCACTGCAAACTCATTAATATAACCAGGCACTGGAGATGTTTAGGTGGAAACTGCTGGTGTAAATTATGTTAGTGGAGAGATTTACTTTCAGCTGCAGTGGGTCTGTGAGCAAGCACAGCCCCCTGGTATTCAGCTGTGTATGGATGGCACATTGCCTCTCTGCTCCTCCAGGACTATTTTAATTACATGGCATGGCCCATCAGAGACCTAATCCCAGGATCTAATCCTGGAGGCAACAGACAGCTGCCTGTCTGCCCTGTGTGCTCAGAGAAGTGCCCTTGGGGCTGCAGTGAGGGTGATGCAGATGATGGGACAGCAAGACAAGCACTCACCCGACACACAGAGCAGGCACCAGCCCTGGTCACCCCCTGGCCAGGGCACCACCAGCTTCCTTGACCTCTCTGACATGTGAGTGGCACTGGGCAGACTTCAGAGCCCTGGGTCCTCCCTTGGTTAGCAAGAATCTGGGTGGATGCTGCATCCACAGACCTCCAAATCTAATTAAGAACGCACACGGCTCCAGTCCTTTCCTAGCATCAGGCTTATATAAATACATACACATATAAATACATGGTACAAATACAGCCTCTGGCAGCAGGAACAGTCTCGTACTCAGATCTTCAACAGCTCTTTCCATCTGTAGATCCTGCAGGTCAAAGACATGGCAGAGCTTCAGGAACCATTCTGAAAAGGGGAAAGATTATTTTTTCCCACTGTTGTCTGCATGTACGTGATGCAAAATCCATTTTAATTATGATACAACAGGGTCATCCTCACTACTCTGACTCTGAAGAACAGGCACCACTTTTGTGCACACAGAGACATTAGTAAAGCAGAAGCTCTATTTGTAGGATGAAATTTCTCCTTCAAAAAGCACTAGAACTAAATCAAATTCACACCATGAATACCAAATGCATGAAATTCTGACTCAATAAAAGGCAGACAGCTGTATTTTCTGATAAAAATGTGCCTTTATTTTTTTAATATTTCTTTTCATTACCTGGATTCTGTGTTTGTCAGAGCAACAAAAACAAAACATAGTTCTCTTTGATAGGCGGCAAATCTGAAAACAATCCTGCAAACAGCACAACACAAAAACTCCCACAAAAAGGGAAAGCTATAAAATTTGAGAGGCGACGAGGCTTTCAGAAGTGCCAGTTTCCCAGTGCAATGGCTGGAAGGGTGGCCTGGCCTGGCGGCAGTTCAATCATTTTGTAACGAAGGACAAATACTTTCAACATCCTGAGAAAGAGGGCGGGGGGACGGGGGCACGACTCCCTTGCTTTCCCTCCTCCTGCTATTCTTTCTCCTCCCTCCCCCCACCCCTTGGATTTTCAATAGCTCTTTAGTGTTTCCATCAAAGGCTTTTACCATTCATCCTCCCTTCTGGTGCCTGCCTTCCACCTGTCTATCCATCACAGCCCTAACCCAGGTCCCTTTCCCCCCCGCCTTTTGCTATTTTTCACGCGGTGGGATTTGTTTATAAGCTTCTGTATTACCTAAACTGCAGGGGAAGAGGCTGCTGGGAGGAAAGTGAGAAAGCAGGATTAAGGAGGAATAATTCAGCTCCATTGCATTTCCATCTGAACGGTCATAAAATGTGCAAATCCTGTTCCTGGGAATTTCGTGTCAGAGGCCTTCCCTGCCACTGCCCTTCCCGTAGCCCTTCTCTCTTTCCCCCTCATGGAAAAACAAATGTTGGGAAGGATGACTGTGACTCCACAGACCCCAAAAGCCGTGACGTGTGTGCCAGCAGGGAGGAGGCTCCTACCAGCACGTGTGCAGGGAGACACTCCAGATGTGGCCAGAAACTACAGACAGTGGGGTGGGAGGCTGCAGGGATTGAATCCAGCAGGACAACAGGAGTGAGCAGGGAAAGGCTGCTCAATATGACAGCTCCCAACACCCCCCAGCTAATTAATGAGCCTGGGTAAAACTCAAAAAAAACCTCCCAGGCTTGTTGGCTCTCTAAGTAAATCGTACAGAAATATGTGATTCAGACCCCAGCAGCTTGAAGAGTTTCTACTCTCTCATTTTTAGCTCATCGCCATCACAAGGCACCAAAATAGGCACAGACCACATTTCCAGGCCCCAGAGAGCCACCAGCAATCCACCTGTCTGCAAACTGGGAGACAGAAGAAGGGCCATTGCTCTGTACAGTCAGACACTTGTAACTGATTCAAGCAGAAGTCACTGTGACCCCTGGACTACCTGACCAAACACTCTCAGGGGAGCAAAATTTTAAATTTTTAATTTTTAATGTTAGAAAAGGATGTGGCCCTTAATCTGTCCTCAACCCTTTTGAGCCCACAAACCTTTTCTTGGTGGAACTTCATCTCATATCTGCTGGACCTGGCAACAGCTAGCAGCTATCTTCCACTTACAGACACATCCTGGAGATACTGCAGATCACCCAGCAGGTAGCACATGTCAAAATAAGTTCCTTTGATTGACAGTTATTTATTATTTTTAAATAAAATGAGAATAGATTGAATGGGTTGCTCAGCAGCAGCTCAGTTCTTTGTTTGGCAACTTCTTGGACAGTTTGACCATACATATGACAACACAAAATAAATTTCACTTGCTTGCAGTAGCAGTTGGCTATAAATTCAGTCCATCGATGATTTATAGCTCTAGCAGCAGTGGGATATATGAAATGAGAAGCCCTTTCATCCTTGAACTGCTCTGCAGTCTGGTAGAGATGATGAAAGCCATTGTTCCTAAGGCCAGAGGAGAGCAGGAGCTCATTCAGCTGTGGTAGGAGGAGGTGTGCAAATTGGGTCCAAAGGTGAGAGGAGGCCCAGAGACAGAGCAGCCCTTGGTTTCGAAGAGCAGCCAGAAAGAAATCCTTAATGATGCTCAGCTTTGCAGGCTGGAGGGGAGCAGTATTTCCATCAACTAAATCATCTCAACTCTTTGGCTTCCCTGAGGGCACTGCACCAGGACAGACTGGGATTGCTCAGCAGAGCCACTCTCAGATGTTTGTGTTCTTCCCACCCACCAGCAGCCCCGACCTGAGCGTGTCTTTGGCACAGCAGGTGGGATCCTTAATCCTGCCCAAGGCCAGCCCCAAGCAAAGATTAGCAGAAGAATCTGTTTTCATTAAAATCCAGCCTTCCATCACCATCCTGCCTGATGGTTCAGTTTAAAATGCACATGTCCAGCTCTTGTAGCAGCTCTGCTTCTGCAGGGAAAGGGCAGTTCAGCAACCTGCCTCTTCCCTGGCTAATGTCTCTCTTCCTTTTCATCAACAAGTAACTAAGACAGACACTCTGAGGAATGTTAAATGCACCTCCTCCTGGAGAATTTTGCCAGCAGGATCAGTGGAATTGGGATTTTGCCTTTATTATGTTTCTTTTGACCGTGGAACTGGTCTGATTTTCCTCCCAGTGATTTTTTTTTTTTAAACCCCACAAAACAACAAAACAGGAGAAGACATACAAATAAACACTAATACGTACAGGAAAAATACAAAACTTAGCACCATGCACTCCCCTCGTTATTAGACAAAGGTTGGGAAGGGTTCACAAGTGTAAAACACTCATGTGAATTATGAGATTACTGCTCAGTTTTCTTTCAAGTCGTGGGCTGGAAACAGATGGTGGCTGTAGCATTTATGACGGCACAACATGTTACTGCAAGCCTAGCCATCTCTCTCTCTCTCCTCTCAAAAATGCAGCTGCAAGGAAAGTTGTGGAAAATCGCATTAATAGTCTCTTCCACCACACAGTTTTCCAGCCCTTCATCCCTGGCCAGCACATGGACAGAGCCATCTTGTATGCCAGCAAGAATACTCTCCTAATCCCTGTCCTGAATAGTTACCACTGACTGGCTTATTTAACAGCTAGTTAAAATGTGAGGTTTGTTAGCATTGTAAAAAAGCCTCCAGAAAGCAGGTTCTTAAGGTCAGGGCAGACGCCATGTGATCCCAAGGGCTCCCTAAGGGAAACACTCAGAAAGAAGCCATCAGAGAGTCTTTTAGCTGTTTATTATTTAAACATTCAGTTCAGACCAAGCAGGTTGATTTATAAAGAAGCCAAAGACAGATAAAACAATTGCTAAAGCATCTTTGTAACTCAGGAGTCCAAATCTCACTTCCAAGCAAGAGTAGAAACTTTTACAAGGGCAAAGGCCTCTGGATTTTCAGTCAGAGAGCCTTCCAGTGACCATAGGCTAAGAAGGATCTGGGGCCCTGAAGATACAAAGAGCAACTAACCCCATATTTAAATGTCTTGCCTGAAGACAAGAAAAAAAAGTCCATGTACTTCAGTCCTGATGGAAATGCCTTGCTGCCTAAAATATGTTCATACTTGGGCTTAAACACTTGAGCTGAGGCTGGGGCACAAACCCTCCACTCTCAAGGCACCACAGAGGACTCTGTTGACACCAGAGAACTCTTCAAACAGTACAAAACTGTTAACCTGTGATTTCTGTGTGCTTTACAAATGTGAAGCAATCCTGTATCACATCTTTTCTGAGAGCATTAACTCTCTGGGATTCCAAAATTGGGATTTTAGAATTACTTCTTCACTTGAGTTAATTAAGACTCTGTCAAGTAATAATTTTTCCAGACAAGTGTCACTGGTGTATTGGAGTATCCATGCTGCTATTTTCACTTTTCTGGCCTCACTGCCTGGTTGGGAACATCAGCACCAACTATATGTGTTCATCCTTAGCCACTCCAGCATGTTCCTGCCAAGCTTCCTGCACCCAGCTGCACACAGGGCAGCATTTCTGTCCTTTGGGGTGTAGAACAGGGCAACTGAAAGCAAGATAGACTTTTACCATTCCCTTTATCACTTTTCACAGCTAGACCAGGAAGTTGCCACAGAAATTCAATAGTGTACACACTTGAAACTCCAAATAGCCTTTTGCCAGAGATAGACTCTCTCCAGGTGATATGACCATACATATCCACTGCATATCTGTCATAACTGCAAAAGCCCTCAGACCTTTTCTCTAAGATAGAGAAGGTGCCATTTCATTTTTCTTTTGGAAACCTCCTCCTGCAGAATTCATTAGTATCCTATGCAACAATGTACTTCCTGTAAGTACTGAAATATAAAGTGTATTAGAAGTTTCCACTTCTGTTTTTATCTTTTCCTGATCTAGCCTGAAAATTCTTTTGAAGTTCCTCAAAGTGTTCTTCATATATGCTTGTTTTAGGAAATACCAGATCACTATTGGCAAACTTCTCCTTAATTAAGTGAGATAAAGGAATCAAGATTATATGATCTGCTTAATTCCCCACCTTTTTTAGGTCCCATTTTAGGATTTTTTTTTTTCCCACTTGCCTTTGAAAAGAAACATTCTGAAGAAACTAAGGAAGGGGAAGGCCCAGAGGGAGCAAGCTTAGCTCTGGGCTCTCCAGTGTACCTGAGTTTACTGGCAGAAAACCACAGAATAAAGATCTCCCTCATTACTATGGAATGGTTTATTGAAAGGTTTCAGACCCTTGTGAAACTCACATCACTCTGGACAATGCTTAAGAGGAAAAGACTAAACTGCACTGTGTTAGCACAGTGGGTTCACTGTGCCTTCAGGCCTCAGCTCAGCAAGCCAACTCAGATCATGCCTAACTTTAAGCACAAGTAATTTCAAAGAAACATCTCTCGTGCCTCAAGTTCAGCTCTGCACTGTCTCCCTTGATGAATCACAACTTAGGGTATGCAGGGAGCTAATGGGAAACATTTGCACTCCTCAACCCCAGCTGCAAGGTCCCAAAACCCTTTAGCTAAGCAGGCATGGCCCAACCACTCTGGATGGACCAGAGGCTCATCACAACAAATGGGTACAAGCTAGGCCAGCTCTTCTGAAGCACCTCTACAAGAAACATGTCCCAGAGCAGCTAAACTTTGATTTAAAAGCAGTATTTGGGGCAATCAGTGAAGTACAGCAGCTGAGCATCAACCTGTCTGACTCCTACGCGGCCTGTTGGAGAAACCACTCTATGTAGGATAAATGTTTCTGTCACTTTTGCTGTGGAAACCCCCTGCAGTCAAGGGGAATTCAGATCTTGGGCAGGTTCCTGAGGAGCTTCCTGGCTCCAAGGAGACTTCTGAGCAGAATGCTTTGCAGTGGGGGAGTTTGGGCCAAGAAATGTCTGAGGGGTGATCCCTCAGGCCTCACCCACACTGGAAGTGCTGGAGCATCTCTTTTCCCTCTCTCCCTCCTCCTCTGGCCCCACACAGACTCCACCAGCAGTTGAGCAGGGCCCAGAGGTGAAATCTGGCCTTTTGAAACTTCCCTGGTCTTCAGGTTAAACCAGCACCACCTTTATACAGAAAATGCATGTAAAGGCCAAAGTGCTAAGCAAAGGTGAAGCACAGCTGGAGTGAAGGGGGCTCCCCATCTGAAAAGTCTGAAATCCAAGGTTTGGGTGCTGCTGGCTAGACATGGAAGGCAGAAGTCACAATAACATCATTGGGTCAAAACTAGTCTCTCTTCAGAACAGAGATGTTCTGAAGCCAACAAGGGTTTCTTGAAAGTTACGAAAAAATGAATTAAAAATGGATGCCCAAATCCCTCAGACTGCTGAAAAAATCCAGCTAGGGATATCCAGCAAGTCTGGAGGGGTCCTTCATACTTCACTGAGGTCTAAAAGTTTGAGTTCATCCCCAAAGGGAGCTGAGGCCACACAGCACTTCACCCACAGGCCCTCTGTGAACGGAGTCTTTCTTGTGGTCAGAGGGGCTATCTTGAATTTATGTCTTACTTCTCCCCTTGCGAGCAAACAAAACAATTTCTATGAGTAATTCTACCCACTAATTGCCAAGGAAAAGTCTGGTAAGAAATGCTCTGCATTTTTGACAGGTCAGAGGCTTCCCTAAACAAAGTTGCTGTTTTATGTTTTCTATCAGCACATGTTCACATCCGGGGTCCTCAGTGAATTCCAGCGTGGATGAGTCTCTGTGGGAAATTGCTTTTCCCTATTTTCTTGTTCTAACTGCTCCAGGAAACGAGTCTATTTTTACAACAACACTAAACAGCAAAATATGAAACCATTATCTGCTTCGTGGCAAGAGTTTCGGGTCAGTTCTCAGGTAAGTGTCACCTCCAGAGAAGTCAATGGAGTTGTATCTGCTCCTGCAAGGCAGAGACCTGACCAATTATGTAATTGGTTGATCAGTTACCAGAGCACAGAGCTACCACAGGCCTAAGGAGTGTCTTGTTTTCATGCGTCTCAAAGTTCATCCAAGCCCTGATGCATTGATAAGTGAAGTATTCTAGTATTATGGTCTGTAAAGATGATAATTAACTGCTGAATGATTTAAGCATGAGCCTTCTCTGCGAACACATACTTTGTCACTGAATGATCCTTATAAGTAGTATCTCTTCTGGATCCTTTTTTCACCTGCCAAATAAACCAGGGTGGGATTTTCAGAAGTGTTTAAAATGCTTTTCTCCTACTTAGTTCTGATTGCTTTCAAGAATTAAGATGTTTTCAAAATCCCTGGGGATTTCAAGCTCTGTAGGCTCAACTGCATCTCTGTGTGCTTCTGCTTTTTGCACACCTGATTTAACAGCTACTCTGAATTCAAAGCTGGACAGTAAACCCAGTTTCCTTCATTACCAAGATCAAAGATAGTACATAGAGGCCCAAAAATCAAGTCTGATCTGAAGATGAGTGTGAACACTTGTTACAAACTTGGCTCCTTAATTACAGTTTTCAGCGACTACTCCAGCCTTCACATGTGAACTTCTTTTCTGATGAAGCACTCAAGTGTGCCCTTTTTGTGTATTTTATCTAAGAACTTGGGAGACATCTGGCATATGCAAGTATCAGTCCAAACAGAAATTCTTGAGCTGCTCAAAACTCAAACCAAGTCAGATTTGGTGGCCTGCTAGTAAGTCAAACATATAAATTATCTGATTCCTCTCTACAGGAAGAAGTAACCCTGGAAAAATGTGAGATGAAATTTTCAAGTGACAGAAATTCTATCACCAGGATGCTCCCAGAATTTCATCCATTGATTATGAGCTAGACTAAGAGTTAGCACTTTCTTACCTTCAGGCTAGGAAAGAGGTACTCATGACTTTCCACCTAATTGGAAAGCTCACTAAACGTCACTCGAGACCAGCATACAGAAAACAAACTTAGAGACAATATCTAAGGAAAACAGAACCTAACCTATGACTTGTTCTTTGATTTACAACTGTGATTGTGGGCCCCACCTCACAGTCATATGCCATGGCAATAGGCAGCAGTTCAACAAGAACCAGTCCTAACTTTTCACATGTTGCAGTGATTCTGAGCTACTTCAGCACATACTTTAGCCTGATGCAGCAAGTAATTAGAATGACTAAAAGGACAGGTGACATGCCACAACTGAAAAAAGAGTGATCAAACCCTTGGTCTTGTTTATTCTATCTTTCTAATTCTTTAAAAAAAAAAAAAAAAAAAAAAAACAAAAAAAAACACCAAAAGTTGCCAGATTTCACGTGAAATTTGCTCTAAATAATTTCTCCCATCTCAAATTTGACTGTTATCAGCACAGCTGTGAGTGTTCAAAGTATATCCTGAAGTACCCAAACAGATCATCTGAAATGGGCTCACTGGCATTAGCAACTGAATCCACCCATGCCAAGAAAATATTTTCCCCAAAAATAACAAATATGTAATTCAAAATGGCAACCTCCATGGGAGCAGGAGTGGCACATCCCAGCTGTTTTCCTAGTTGTATATACAAGTTTTGTTACTTCATCTTTGGGATTGCTTACGAATACTTCAACACTCTGAGAGCACAAAGACCCCCAGCCTACAACTGGGATCCTGTGTCAGGAAGGCACACACTAATTAAAAAATAAAGCATCAACTCTGCTCGATTTGCCTGAGGTCAATGGGATGTTTGTCCAAACCTAGGAGCATGCTCAGGCACCAGTTTGAAGATGAGCAAACACAGGCATCTCTTAAAGTGTTTTTCCATGTTAGGGCCTGGGAAAAAAAATTCAGATTGAGCCCATGATAAAAACAGTTCCCCATGGAAAAGTTACCCACACCATAAAAGGAAGGAATGACACTGAACTGAAGGAGAATGAAAATTGTCTACTGAATTTTTGTAAATTCCCATAAAATCTAAGTCTTGTTCTATGTGCATAATTTTGACTGTAAGTCACGAAAGGCTGACTCCTAAGAGAAGCAGGAAATGACTGGCTCATGATAGGATAAAAGGCTGCATAATTGCATGGGCAGAAAGATGGATTTTCATCAATCTCTACATTCTCTGACAATATGGCAGTGGCTTTTGATCATGTATCCAATGCACAGTAATTAGGCAAAATGACTTACCCTCAATCTTTTCAGTATTTAGCTCTAAGGGTGCAAGGATTCATTCTTGGAAAGGGAAGATGGTCGTGTGATTTAGGGCACTGGATGAGCACTCAGATCTGAGTCCTCTCCCTGGTTCTGCCACAGCCTTGCTGTATGACCTTGCACAGGCTTTTCTCCATGCCTCGGCCTCGCCTAAAATGGGATAACAATAGTTCTTTATTTCAGAGGACATAGGGATACAAAGCAGCTCAAGGCTGTGCCACAAAGATGCTACAGCAAAGAGCAGCACAAAAAAGCTCAGACATGGAATAATGCCTTGCTAATAAAATGTGGGAACACAGACAGTAATTAAATTGAGTAATAAACACAAAACATAAGCTGATTTTTGAGGAATGCAACACTGATAGGCTTTGTACCTGGAATTAAAGGAAATTTAAATGGGATTCATATGAGTTGACCTGACTCTGAGATCTGCCAGCAGTACAAACTGTGTATTAGAAACACCAAGGAAATTACTTCATTCAAAACCTCTATATGATGTCTGTTTTAGAGCAACCATGATTTCCAGCCCAAGTGAGGGTCAGATAACTACCCAGAACATTTTCAAAGCCATGAGAGGGGCCTACAAACATGATTTCCTTCTATTTACAGCAAAATATGAGCATGCAAATCTGAGGTAGTTTTTAAACTTCAAAAAAAAGTCTGAAACTTTCAAATTAAAACATAAACAGGGACACTGATCCTAATTAAACTGTCAGATGTCTGGAACAGCTTCAATGCCACTATTCCAGCATCACACTGTTGCTGGAATTGGACAGCGCTTTAGCAAAGAGTCTTCAGTAGTATTTTTCCAAATGCAAAGATGAATCTTTTTCTCTAAAGCATTTGCCTTTCATGTCAGGGGTCTGTGGATCTGGGAGGCAGGATCTCGGGGCACATGCCTAGATAAACCAACTGATTTGGAGACCACCAGATCAAAGGCTGGTATGTCAGGCAGGAGGAGAGAAAACAGATATGAGACACATCTTAGGAAAGGAAAATAATTTCTGAGACAGAAACAAGAGGGAAAAGTCAGAGAATGGCTGGAAAACAGCCCACAAAAAGGCAATATAGACCTAAGGAGGATGGGCAAGTGGAATGTTGAAGCCCATTGGAAGGAAGATGCTATTTCAAGTAAGAGTAAAAAGACTAAACCCAAAGTGGTAGAGCTACCTGAGAACCTGGGAGAGCAGCAACTGGCTGCAGTCTGCTTAACAAAGCAGATGCCAGGCAGGACAGAGGACAGGAGAAAAGGAAAGCAAACTGGCACACAATCCCTGGTTTCACTCAACAAAATCAACTGAAGGACAGGTCTGGAAAGACAAAGCACTGAATTAAGTGTAATGAATTGACTAAAGAATCAGTGACCATGCACCATATTGTAATGCTGAAATTGGGTTTGGGCAATCCTCTCTGTATGGCCTTTCTGATCAGACAAGACCCAGAAAAAGACATAATCAGACCAAGAAGTTTGGATCCCTGGACAGAGGAAATGAGTGCAGAACATAAAACAGAAAAGCATTTCATCCCCAAACTGCTGCCTACAATGTGGAAGGACAAAACCAACAAGGTGTTAAAGCATTGCACGGAAGTGCAACTTTTGACAACCACCACCCTTGGCTCCATTAAGCCCTCTATTCACCCCCCACCCCACAAATCACAGAGCTGTCCATCAGATATCTTGTGGCTCCAGTTGCTCACACCTTTCCCTGCAACACTCCAAATGCAGCACATTAGAAGTCCAGAGGGAGTCCACCTCCAGCAGACAGCAGAAGAAGATATGACACGGCATTCACGAATGCACAGAGAACTGTTTAATTTACAGCCACAATGGTGAAACAAACCATTTCAGAGCTTGGACATTCAAAGTTAAGTCTGACACTCATTCTTATATTCACTTATTGTGCTTAAGTATTAGAGAACACAGGATTACATTAACCATACACAACAATCTGAGATCCCTGCGGGACCGAGGAGTGGAAGGGATGAGCAAGAATGAGGGACCAGCCCCTCAAGTGGTGTAAGCTGGTACAGCTCCATTGCAGGCAAGGGAGCCATGGTGATTTACACCAGCTGAGGATATGGCCCTTGAAATGTCCAACTTAACTTTGAATTAACGACTCCCGTGCCACAACCTTTAGTGTCACTGTTCCTTTTGGTTGTATCTGCCACTTGGAAGGAGAACTGATCCCACAACCCACCACAGCCCCCAGGCTGGTGGGTGAGAACTCAGCTGGACTACAGGAAGTGATGCTCGTGTCGTGACACTACTCCTCACAAGTTAACAGCCATGGACTGCATCCTCATCTGATATAAATTAGCTTGGGGCCACCTGAAGTCAGAAACATTTGCCAATTTATAGTAGCTGAGAACATAGCCCTGAGAATTTTGTGTTTTCTGCCGCATGCTGTATGAACACTGTGCTTGACAACAAAGACTCACGCGCGTTTCATTCCTCGTAACAAAATTAACTCAAGACTACAAGTCTCAAACAAACGGCTATTGGAAAAGTCCCCATTCAGTCTTCACTCTCTCCTGGTGTGCTGAATTTGGCCTAACAGGTCTATTTGCTGGCACCAACAAAACCTCTTGGTTTGCTCTGTTTACAAGGCTTTGCTAGAAGGCCAGACTCCCTCGTGATGTAAATCAGAGCTCCAGGATACCCAGGGGAGTCACTCCCAAAGAGCTGGCCCACAAACCCAAACACAACCTTCTCATGCAAGTCCAACCACAGGACTTTTCCAAGAGTTGTTTTGCAAACTATTCCACTTAAGTGACTTTGACATCCTTTCACACCTGCACAGTGTCTGAGTGGGTCACATAATGCTTTTCATCTACATGATTTTAATGGGTATATGTTTGGTTTTTTTCTTTCATTAGATATCTTTTAGACAAAAAAAAAAAAAGGAACGGAGCAACATTATTGGCATCCCACTGAAACATAAATATATAAATTACATTTTATACACTTTTTTAAACGCAGACACATACATTCATGTGCATAACATCGTGAACAGTACACTTAGTGGAAAACAAGCACAGACAATCTTAGTTAAATGTATTTCCAGTTTTGGTGCTCAACAAATACACTGGGAAAATGATCACAAAATAGAACGGTGACTAACTCTATCTCTGCATTAGCATCTGAAGCCAATAATGCCTGTTAGCTAACATTGCTTTGTTTGGTTGAATTTGGACATAGCTACAGGAACAGGAGGGGAATGTTTGAACTATATTTAGAGAAATTGAAAGGTTAAAAATCTCTCTTTTGTTGTTTGAAGGTTCTGCAGTTCATTCACATTTGAAGATATTTTTATTTGAGTGGAAACACTGTCTTCAAGACAAACTTTTTTGTTGTTCCAAACTAAGAAAACTCTTTCATCTCTTTGTAGATGTTTCACAAATAAAAGAATCCAGTAGTTCATTTTACATATCCAATGTAATAATCCAAATAAAACAAAGGGTACATAATCCAAACTACTGGGGTGGGGCAGTGATTTTGGCCAAGTGAGTAGCCATGTCATATCTGGCACAGCCCTAAATTTCCAAAGCAGTACAGAAGGATTTATCCATGTGGCTCCCACTGCAATCTGTGGGGAACTGAACATTTAATCCTTTGGCACTTTGAAAATAAAGGAGCTGGTGCCAGAGTATTTTATCTGCCCTGCTATAGTTAAAATAGATTTTGATGTTATTTGGGCTATTCTACTACAAAAATATGACCACAAAATGCTTTTTTTTCTTTTTTTCTTCTTTTTTTTTTTTTTTTTGGTTCAAGAAAACATAGCAGGCTTTCTCAGGTATATAAAACTGTTAATTTTTAGATAAAAATACAAACTTCACCTTTACAAAAACACATATTTCTGTTGAATACACATAAAGCATAACATTTTACCAAAAATAAAGAATTTTAGGTTTTGTTCAAATATTTGCAGCAAGGTAGTTCCCATGCCACCATGACATTATACAATGCAGATACAAGAATTTGTACATTTCACACAGCTTCAACATGTGAAATAAAAGTATCTGTATACTGATAAGAATGACAATTGCTAACACAATATCACTAGTAGGCAACTGGCATAAGTCTTAAAGAAAAAAAAAGGATTTTTGCATGGATATCCTATGATTTGTTTACGCACATCTCTCTTTTTTTTCTCTTTTTATTTTTTTTCTTTTATGTAATGCTTTAAATTACGGGGGAGGTTGGGGAACATAAACCAAGAAACGTCTAGAAAATTATGCATAGGTATACCATTTTTATTTTAATACATCTCATTAGTTTGCATCCCACTAGGAGAAATACCATAATGTTTTGTGTTCTGCTTATTGTTATACCAGTCTTTTATATGTGTTATTGGCAAATGTAGTCCAAGAGATAATAAAAAGCTAGGCAAAGAGTAAAAAGAAAACTTAATAATCACTTTATGGTGTAAAAAAAAAAAAAATCCACTTAAGGCTCCCCAGAAGGTTTTTTTGTATAGACTTTTAAAACACCACCAAGCAAGGATGTATTGTTCTATAGTGTTTGCGTGGCATTTGATCATTTCATACATTCCTGCTTTTTTTGTGCCTGAAGTCCACCAGTGTCCATCCATCTTCATCAAGAACGCAGGCACATTTCTTGACGTAAAGCACCGTTGACTGCTCTGACAGAAATCCACTATTCACTTAGATTTTTGTCATGTTTTTTAGTTCTTTTGGTATCCTCCATTCATTCAACTGTCTTTTTTTCTTTTCTGTTTTTCTTTCTTTCGCTTTTTTTTCTTTTTTGGACAGGGAAGCTTCCTATTGTTTCACAGAGTGCTACAATACTTGCTTTGATGTCACATTAAACAAATGTACATTGTCTCTTTGTTCTCATTAAGTGTTCTTTTGAGCCAGTTTTTTTCACACAGGAGAACAAATAAAGTATACAGTCAATAAGCACCATACATAGTAGGTTCAGGAATGTAACAAACCATGTACATCCATGTCCCAGAGAGAAGTTTTTTTTCTAGCTTATTTTCACCTTACATCTGCAGGAGAGAAAAAAGATACAATAACTCTATGATTAGAATCAAAGGTCCTGTCCTTGAAGTAGATGACTTAAAAAAAAAAAACTGTTCTGCATGAAGAGTCACTAACCTGGGACAAGAAGTTCTAAATGCTGTTTTGATTGAGTTTACATGCTCACTTTTAAAGTTGAATTTTAGAAAATCTTTGCTTCTATCATACTACTCCCAATAAATACCTGTTAATCTGAAACAGGATATCAAGTTTAGCATTCTTTAGAAATGATACATTGGTATAAATGAAAACTGCCACTGGGAGTTCATGTGCAAAAACAGGGGCTTGAAATTAAATTCACCATCATCCAGGCGTTAGGCACAGACACTGCAAAATCCAAATCATCCCCACTCCAAATACCAGAATCAATTGCAAGTGCTGCAGTTTACATACTTTCAAGTCATTAAGAAATGGAAATTCCATATTTAATTTGGAATGTGTGTCGCCATCATCATACATTGCTAATATGTTGGCCAAAGGATTTCAGTCATTTTTGCACTGAGAGGGTGTTAGTTTTTCACTACACTGAAAACCTCATGAATTTTGATGACTGACTATCATCATCCTACTGAGACTGAACAGACCAAAAATAAAGATCTTAATTCTCTGGTGTAAGTAACACAGGACTCTGCAACACACACACAAAAAAGGCATTTCTTAGCATCTTTCTGGTCAAGTAAGCAGATCATCAGACTGTGTCAGGTGCATGTGCAATCAACCCCAGTTCATGCCAGAACATGGGTTTGATGGTCACACAAATAATAATATTTGCTGTATGTGCACTGAATGTTTCACAGCCAAGGACTGGGAACACAATGATTTGTAACCTGGAAATTCATTCATGCATTATCACGTGATGCTTTGACCTCAGAAATCAATAATAATGAAACACAAGCAGAGGCAATTGAACTTGAGATTTCAGAAGCTGAAGTATTAGCACCCTCCAATAAAAAAGAAATCAAAAAGGCAAGAAAAGGAAGTAGCTCAAGAATGCAAGATGCTGATGGTGATGTGGAGCTTAAAGGGAAAATACCAGCAGGTAGAATTATCAAAGCCAATCAAATCTAATCTCTTTGCAGCCTTGAGGTAGCAAGTGTCAAGATTTTGAACAGTGATTAAGTTGAAGTGATGATATTTGATTAAGTTTTCCAGTACTTGTGCTATTAGGGTGTTCAGCATATAGGTCCTACCTGAATATCAAATAGTTCCAGTAGGTTTTATGTTGGTTTTAACTTTTTTCGTTTCCGTTTTTTACCTGATTCCCTAGGCCTTCCTGTTAACATAAGGGCAGGGCTGGTGAAAAGCCCTAAGGTAATGCATTTCGTGTAACACTGAAGTCATAAATACTCAAACCGTTTACATTTCCAAGAAATCTCATTATCCTTTGCATTAAAGTAATAACTTTATAACGTCTGATTTGACATTGAGTTTACAAAGTAATTACACAAAAGTAAAGAAATAATAAACGAAGTTGGCATTGCCCACGTCATTCCCAGGATCCATCTATAATTGCTGTTACCATGCAGTACTCAACATTTGCCTTCAGCTCTGGAGTTGAGCTATTTTCAGCTCACCATCCACTTGCTGGGTGCAAGTTTTGCTCCTATCAGTAATTAAATCCTAGAAATATGCATTTTTCCATGATAATTCTGCCCCAGTTTTTACACATATCAAAACCAAAAATTTTGATCTTAAAATCATAGCTGCTTAGTCTATGGCAATTAAAGACAATGTGAAAAACTGAAATTGATCTAATGAAACTTTTTTTCCCAAATGAGAGACATAGAAAATGTATCAAACCATACCCACATTTAAAAATAGCCACTTTATATGTGGTTTTGTCTAATAACTCCACCTAGTTTCAGCTAAACACTCAGCTCTGATGATAAATTGATGTCCAGTAAAATTGCTTTTATAGAAATTCTAACTCCTCTGCTCTGTACATAGCAACTGAAGTTTACATTTGCTTGGACCAGGTTTAATGTCTCCCTGCTGGATGGAGCCAGTACAGAAAACCCTTCCTCACCCAGCCACCTACAAAATCTATCACCTTTGGGCAGCTTTCCTCCTATGTTTAGCTGCTCTTCACTGGCTTTTTAATTTTGGGCTGGTTCTACTGCACCCTTAAATTCCCTGCAGAGGTGCAAAACAAACTTTTATAGCAGCCTTCAACCAGTATCAGGAGAAAAGGAAATGTCTTTTCTACCATAGTGGGTTTTCTGAATAAGTGCGCTGAGCTCTGCATTGATTGCACTGTGGTAAGTAGATCAGAGCCAATGATTTTTAGATTAATTTAGAATGATTTTAAGAAAGCCAGATTGGAAGTAATTTTTCCCCACAAATCTTTCCCCACTGTAACTCAAGGGTTGTCTTGACAAGGCAAATTTAGGTTTAATGGCACAACTGACAAATTCTTGAGTATACATCTGTAGAGAAACAACAGGAATGAGCAATGTTGTTTCCAAACTAACTCCTTAGCCCTGAATCCTGAATTTATTCCCAAGTGCTTTACATTAATTTCATTCATATTTTCCCCAAGGTCAAGTAAATCTCAGTGTTCTCCACAAAGTCTAAAGAAATTAGGCAACAGAGTTCATCCACGAGCTGCAACATGACAACCTTTAACTTAGTGAAGCAAGACCTGAACACTACTGGGCATCTGTATTTATTTAAAGGCCAACCTAATGAGAAGTGATACACATTAAATTTTAAATCCATGCTCCTTATACAGCACAAACTGGCCCTCATTTGGCATCTTCAACACAGAAAAGTAGCTGGGAGCTTCTCTACTCAGCTCACTGTAAGCAACGTTTGTTTTACGTTCTTTACTAATATAAAAATGAGGTCCATATGAAATCAGCATTAATGCAAAAATAAAAGGAAAACATACCAGTTTCTTCTTCTCTATAATCTGAATTAGTATTTGATGATGTACAGGTGCATTCCATATGCTCTTCTAATCTCACCAGAACTTCTTTTAATTTTGGCTTTTTTCTAACATACTCCACTTTTGCCACCTATAAAATACGATGAGGTATGTACTGAGACACATCAACATGGTTACAGTTCAGAACTGAAGACAGATAACTATATACCTCTATTTTTAATGTAGCCAAACCCATATAAAATGTTAGCATACTAATCATCTTTTATCTTAATTGTGCATCGTGTAACTATTTATTGCACAGACTATTTGTTTATTCAAGTTCAGTAGTTCGAAACAATTTTCCCCCAAGAGATAAAACAATTTCCCATTCATTTTGGTTTGATGTTTTAAGCAACTCAGTTTCCACATGTATCACAATAAACTTCTATACAGATTCAAATCAGTGGTTTTTCTTGTAAACTGCCACTTTTAGCACAATCTTCTGTAGGTGTTGTTAAAGGCTGACAGTGAAGGCATTATCTTGGTTTGAAATACATTTTATTATTTACAAATTGGTGTCTCCAGAGCCCTCTGAATGTGAAGTGCTCAACCCTACACAACCAGGATCTGAATATCACCTCAGAAAGCAGTTTCATTCCTACTCACCCCCTGCAATAACCTGGGGCTTGTTCACAAGAGCTCTCAAACAGAGTTTTTAAGTCCAAGGGAACTACCACTCCTGAACTGGGTCCAGCCTTTGGCTTTATTGTGGAAAGCTGGCAGACAGAATATTTCTCCCCAGTCCTTCAAACTGTTCACAACTGCACTCTTCCACTTAAGGCATCCTTAAATAAAAACGTCTGGAGGGCAAGTTGAGGTTGGAGGAAGGATCATACTGAAGCAGCTCTGGCTATACATGGATCTCTCATCTGAAGGAAACCAAGGCAGAACAGAAGGATGTTGGGGTGGGGGGATTCTGAACATCCTGACCCACAGGTTGGCAGCCAGGAGAGGAGGAATGGCAGAGGGGGCAGAGCACTGATGTTCTGAGGTACTGAAATGGCTCATGGGATGCTGGGCACTGACTTGTGCTAAGTGTAGTGGGCATGATGGTCAGGGCCATGCAAGGGAATATGGCCTGATGTGGGCAAGGAGAGCACTAGAGACTTTGTAAGGGGTCCTGTGTTCAGCTCTCAACTGTGTTGGACACTGCAGAATAGGTGCTGAGCATTTGCTTGCAATGGAAATCACTACAATTAAATCATGGCTTCTCAGACCTACCCATCTGACAACTGGGCACTGCAGTGGGGCTGTCCCAGCAAACAAGAAGACCATAAGTCACAGGGATGCTGTATAAATGAGGTGAGGGAGCAGAAGGACAGGGCAGGCTGGTTGTCTCTACAAAAGTTACATGACAAAGCCATAAAGGCTGGTCCATCCAAAAGCTCCAGTCACTACCAAATAAAGCACCCACAGTGACACTGCCAGCCATGATCTCCTTGTGTGTTTGGTGGGGATTCAATGCTCCAAATCAATCTTCACACCGCGAAAATCATTCCCCTGCCCTTTCAAAACTGGAACAACACTGTTACAAAATGAGAGTGGTGGTTGGAAAAACCCATTCTACGGCCAGTTCCCAGAAAAACTCTTCTGGCTCTGGGGTCACAACTATCAAGAGCCTCTGAATGCCAGTGAGAGAAGCTAGAGCTAAATCTTGGCCTTTCTAAAGCCAATAGGAGATCTAAGCTTTCACAGAGCAAGGAGTTCAGATCCACATTTTAGTCACTACCCCTTGTGTCAACAGGATCTGGAGATGATTTTCATTTCATCCAGCAAACCAAAGTTACAGAACCAGATGCAATAACTAAAGTACCCACATTAAAAGGAATATTCTGAAACTGTCAGCTCTCCATGTAAACAGATTAAGAGCTGGCCATGACATACCAGAACACTTTATCTGAAACACTAACTATGGGCTGAAGCAGTTTCAATATTTCCTATCAGAACCCAGCTCCATCAAGCCTTTGAACACCATGATTGGAAAATGTATGGTACAACTGAGTCATCTGGTGTCAAAGGATGACTAATCCTTAAAATTTATGAAAACAAACAGTAATTAAGACACCTCCATCATCAGAGACAAAGAAAGGGACCCAGCAATCACAAAACAGCTCTCAGATCTGCCATGCTTATTACAGCTGTTAGAATAAACCGGTCTCATTGAAAATTACACGCAACAAAAATAAACTGTAATCAAGCTTTTAAAAGCCTGTTCTTGTTTTGCCTGGTTTTACAAACTGAAAGATATATGCAGTTCCTGTGGCTATTTGGTATTAAAGAACAGTTAAAAAAACAGAAACTTTGTGGAGGATCATAATGAATTTATGCAGCAATTTGAAGCTGGCTTTTAGTGCTGTAGTTAAAATACAATCCAGCACACGTTCCACTGCCCTACTTCACGCTACACAAGTTAAAGGAATTTCAGTTTGTAGATGTTGCAAATACTGGAAGTGAAGCAGCACAAACCAGATAAGCTGCTGTGTCTGTGTCACCTGTTAACACCTGCTGCCACACACAGTGCTGATCTACAGCGATGAAGGCTGCAGGTCACACTTTCAGTAGGTATAAACAGGGCTAGCTGTGCCAACAGCATGGGATTTGGCCTCGTGTGCAAATATTTTTTTCTTCTTTGTATTTTTCTCCCTGGCATTCATATTGTAAAGTTTCTCAAGTGTGTTACACAGAACTTTGAGGTGGTCAGTCCTCATCAAATCAACAAGCTCCTTTTACCTGTCTCTAATGTAACAAAAAAAAAAATCCTCAAGCTCTCCAGATCCAGAAAATATCACTACATAAAAACTCTTTGAGAGCAAGACAGTGAAATATGTGACTAGCTTCTCAAATGGTATATAATCAGTGACACCACCCTTGCATCAGTGTAGATTCTAGGTCTACATCCTGCAATGAAGTGTGGTGGCTAAGTAAAAACGAAAATACAATCTGATAAAAATATGTGGGCTAATGGAAACATCATGGGAACACTTTTTTTTATAGATTCTCCAGGTGAGATGAAATCAGAGATTAATAGCAGGAAAAAAAAGCAAGACTGTAAGCAGAAATGTCCAGAACACCTCCAGCATGAAGCTAAAATTTATCATGGGCAGGAGCTCGCAAGAGAAGTGTCAGCACAGACAGTTCCTCGTAACAGCAGAACTCATGTGCTGATACTTAAATACTGAATGGAAACAAGCCCAAAAAGCAACTGAATGAGGATACTTCTTGGAATCATCTATTGCTTCCATACTAAAATAACTGTGTGCTGATACAATGGAGGGAAAGCCTGTCTGTGAGGAAGATGTGAGGGACTAAAGGACTGGGGAGGCATCAGGAGCCTTCAGGGCCTGGCAAGTCAGTGCTGCAGGGACGGGAGGGCAGGAACGGCTCTGTGGGATCCCTGTGTCCCCAAGCAGAGCAGCCAGACCCTGCCAGGCTTACAGGGCTTCCCATGCTCCCAGGGCACCTCGCTGCCTTTCCGCCTTCATTTCTGTCAGGGTTCCCTTTGTTTCTCCTTTTCCTAAACTGACCTTTGATACCTGGTCCTGCCTGCAATTGCAGTAAAGCCACAGCTCAATCCAAGTGCTGCTTATCCCAATGGCAGAAGAAAAAGGTTATTGAACCTGCAAATGTGACATACAGCCATTTCACCTGTACACCCCATGTGTTCTGCAAGGCATTTTCAACCTTTTGAGGCTGGGGAGCTCTGCTGAACAGCTCATCCTGAACTACTAATTCAAAATTAGTAGTATAGGCAGGATTTGCTCCAGAATACTAATGACTTTCTGCTTCTCTGACCAAACTCACCAAGAACAACACCATGCTGAAAAAGCCTCTTGGGAAGACTCTTGTTCAGAGCCCCCCAAATAAATTATAGTCTGGTACTTGGTAAGTACTGAACTCACTGTACAGAAGCAAAAGGATCTGCAGATGTTGCTGAAATGCTTTTGCACACAGAGGAGAAAATCTCTCTGTAACAAACACCAACACTCCTAACTCCCCCATCCTTGTCACCATTGCTCCATGAGGAGAGAAATGGAATCCTCTCCCTCCCATCAAAGAGCAGCTCCCATCCAGCCTCTCCATCCCAGTCTGAGTTCTGCAGGGCTGTGCAGGTGCAGTTTGCTGAACAGAGATGTCTTCAGGACCAGAGCTCTCATGGACTCACTGTCACCAGGCAGGGCAAACCCACCTTGCACTAATGAAACCCACCCTGTTAAAGGGAAACCTCACAAGACCCACTTCAGGGAAGCTGCTCCACCAAACCCCCTGGCTTGGAGCCTCCCTACAGCTTCAATTCCACATTAATGGTATTTCACTGATGAGAGCTCAGTGAAGACGAAGAAAGGAAATCCCTGAACCCTCCAGCCTTTGAATCATGTCCCAGGAATGAAATGCCCCAACACAAGCACCTCCACTGCTCCTCCTACCCTGCCCCAGCCGTCTCTTAACCTTGACTTACAGTGGCCCTCAGTGAGACAAAGAAAACACCCTTTGCTTTGGCCTGTTGGATGATGCAAACCCACTTGCTGACCTTTCTGGATGAACATTTTTCTAGTGTGAATGGGCCAGCTATGATCTCACTACCTTGTCAATGAGGAGGAAGCGGGGAAAGCCTTTTCAATGTTCCATCAAAAGAGAGCTTTTATGCAGTCTGACATCAGGGGAAAACACAAGCTGGCTTTCCAATGCACTGCAGCTGAGAAGGCTCTCCAAAACCGCTCCCACCTTTCCAGGGACCCTCGCTCTGAGCCAGCTACTTAATGGCATGAGCAGACATTCAGCTCTAAACTTAGGATTGGCAAAAGGCTCAGAAAACCATCAATTACATCAAAGCTACAAGGGGATCTGACTCTGGAGGGCATAAATATGGATTCTGTTCTAAGAGTTCTGGTGTTACAGTGGGGTCAGCCTACAACCTTTACAATGAACATCCTGTTCCTGCTTGACCTCTTGTCCTTTTTTTCCCCTGCTACTTAATGACTGTTTGGAGCAGTCTCGGAGCTTGGAAAAAAAAAATGTCCTCCAAAGCTGGCTGACGTATATTGATATTGCTGGTGGCAATATATTTACACAGCCACGAAAAGCAGCTGCTCAGCTGAGCCTACTTTTAGCTTGTGCCCTACTAAAATGAATGCAAATCTAAAAGCACTACAAGGGGCTGAGAGACTTAAATTCCTTCAACGTGGTGGTGTGCTGGGGAAGCAGCCCCAGCAGTGCCATCCTGCAAAGCTGCTGCCAGGAGTTTGAGTCTCTATCTCATCTGTCATCTCCCCCATCCCTCAGGGCCAGGAGAAAAGCACAATCTCACAATATTGTTCAATATCACACACAGGTACCAACAGCAAGTTCATCTCACACGTCTCAGCTCTTTGCTAAGCACATCCAGCTGTTCTGTACATGTTTGCTGCTACACAAAATCAAGGAGAAGCTGCATCAAACCCAAAGGCAACAGCACTAAATATCACAGCCCTGAGGCACTTTGCTGTTTAGCTCCTATTCAGAAAGGTTTACAATTGTAGTCCTTCAATCTCCCCACTTTGTTCTCAGCCCTCAAATAATTATTGATCCCAATTTTTATATAATTTTTAATTGTTTCTGCAAAGCGTACCCCACAAAGGCAAGGCAGCAAGCAAGTGTAAAGCATGATTATTTTTGGGAACACTGAGGGAATCTCAGATGTTTCTCCAGCTTATTTGGATACAAAAACATTGCTCTCAGATGTTCAGAAACAAAAAAGAAAAAGAAATTCTGCCCAGACACGTCTGCATGTATGAAAACCAGTGTATGAAAAACAATGAAATGGCTTAGGTGCCTTATTTTTGTTTTAGGATGTACAGCACTAAGTGAACAGCACTTTTCTCAAGAAATCCATTGCAAGTGCAGCAATCAGTGTGTTGTGCTGAGCAATTTTACATTCAAGAATGTGGTGGGGTTTATTTTAATTCTGCTCTTAAGAAATTCAGGGCAACAAGAACTCAGAGTCTTCACAATAAGAATGCTAAGTGTAAGTCTAATCTCCTACACACAGATGTAGATCAACAGCACTTGTTTAAATACTGATAAAAATTAGAACACAGTGAAGCCAAATGAACATAAATATTTCACGTAATATTTACTGGAAAGTTGCAATAGGGATTTTGTCTAATGAGTAAATACAGCATGAAGCTGTTGAGTCTTCTATCCCTCGGGTAAGATAATTTGAAACACATTTTTTCAGATCAAAAGTGTTATGTTGTCAAATATAAAAGCCCAATTTAGGCTGCATAATATTTAATTAAGAAAACAGCATTCCATACTGTGATTTATTTATTTTTTTAAGTCCAATGCCCCTTGAGTCATTTTATCTTCTTAACTTTAAGATCTGTACTGCGCGAGATCATGGGAAAGGCACGATCAACTTTATTTTCATTGCCAAAAAAAAAAAAAAAGAAAAAAAGAGAAAACCTAAAGGGAATCCTGTGAAAACCAAATCCAAACCCAAGATTTTCCAATGACCACGTAACTTGAAAAGGCCATAAGCGGAGAGGGGCGTTCTATGCAAGGATGGACAGCAGAGATTTGGGTCACACAGGCAGAGGGGTAAGGGGAGTTTCCAGGCTGCAGAGGAGCCAGGCAGGGCCCTGCAGCCCCTGCTCACCTTGACACTCCTGTGGTGTATCCGGGAGGGCTGGCACTTGACGCTGCTGGTGTTGCAGCAGCCGGTGCAGCGCTTCACCTCCACGCAGGGCGGCCATATCAGGAAGTTGGCCGAGGTGGGGTCAATCTGGCTCCGAGGTATCTCGTAGATCACCGTCCGCGTCTTGCACACTGCCGGGATGGCCTCCTCTGTGGGCACAGGAGAGTCACAGCCCCAGGTGAGCGCCCGTGGGGATGAGGTACACGCGGGGTCACTGCTCCCAGTCCCCACTGGTCACTGGTGAGCCAGGGCTGAGGGCTGTGCGCTCACACTGAGCTGCGCTCTTACCCTGGGGACAAGCCTGACTCGCTCCCAAAGCCCAGCCCTACAGCGAGGGTTTCCAGTGGCCTGGATCCTGACACAGCTTGGAGCACATGCCATGAGATAAGGCAATCCTGACTCTGGAAGTGACAGAAAGCCAGGAGCTCCTCCACATTCAATGACCCCCTAGTGCAGAGTGACTGTGACCCCTCAGAGTCACTGTGCAACAGCAGCTGTTGCTTTCCAGCACCTCTTCACACAAATACCATCATATAAACATGCAACACCTGGTAAACACTGCCTCAGAAGTTAAACTGAGGATTATGTGTACCATACCAAATGTGCACAGCTGGGAAACAACCTGCATCAGCTTGAAACTTTCAAGACTTGGGTTTCCACTTCCAGAGCTTTAACATCCCCACATCAGGGAGTCTGGTTTATCCACCATTCCAAAGGGCAACTGCTATTTTTCCTGCAGTCATCAAAGCTTTGTGGATAGTGAGTTTTATTTAATTTGTTATTTCTTGAATGATGCAAAACCACCAGAGCAGCATGATGGAAAAACCTGCAGCAAAACCAATATCCTGGTGGGCTCAGGTAAGGTGAGCTTGTTTAGGATTATAGAGAGTAGCTCTGTACTACTGTGTGATGTTGCCATAATCCAAACCATGTATCATCAACCTAGGAACTGTTGAGAAGTCACACTGATATTTCAAAACAGTCCAGAAAAAAATAGCAATTTCAGGGACAAGTTGTTTGCTGATAAGTTCTCCAAAGACAGCTGGGATTTTTTTTTTTTTTTGCCTTACAGTGGAAGCTTGTGATAGCTTTGGGTTAGATGTGTCAGGGAACTGGAACACTGCCTGCACTTCTTCACTTAGTTCTTAAGTACAAGAAGCTCAGGCCTAACCTGTGCCTGCAACATGGAAATCTAGGCTTAGCTTTGAAAGATGCATCTCAAAAGACTAAACACCGTGAAAATCCTTACACTCAGCCCCCAGTGCCATGAACTCAGGAAAATTAACAGATGCAATCCTGCAAGATAGCTGGCAACTGCCACAAGGTATTGAGCACACCCAGTTCCCAGTGCCTGTGGTGGGGAGGCACCCAGCACCTTGCAGGGTGAGGCGCCAACGTCGCCGGCTGCTCCAGCACCGCTGCTCTCCCCAGGCAGCCAAAGTGCTGCCAACTCACACTGCAAATCCCTGCTGACAGCAAGCTGGGCTGGCTCTGCCTGCCACCACAGCTCCAAGGACAAACACGCTGAATTACCCACCAGGGATAGCACCAGCGATGTTTTCCACAGGCCAGTGGAATGGTGGAACGCTCACAGCTAATCAGATGAACAAGCAATGCACATAAATCCTATTCTCATGCCCCTTTTTTAATTTATATTTGGGATTTTTTGCATTCTCATCATCATTAATAAGGATAAAATCCCCTGTAAATATGCCTGGTGCCTTACACAGTGATGGAAATCAATGCCCCAGCGTTTCCATCAATGGCTTTTAATTTTTGGGATAAACTGTATTTTTCTTGTGAATAAAGAGTCAAGCTGTTTCCTTTTGTGGAGCTTCTGTACTGAAAACTCTACCAACTGTTGATGTTTTTTAAAGCACACTGCTGTAGTTGTTCCCCACACTATGAATTATACATTGAATATCACAGCATTTTCTAACCGAGGTCTAGGTTTCCAACATGCTGCAACAAGAAAGTGAATGTAAAGAATTTGTGCATGTCTGTCTCCTATGGACATCCTCCAGAAGACAGCTTCTCAGGCAATGGCTCATTTTGTGCAAAAAGAAAGGCAGAAGCTAGAAATGGCCCTTTTTTCCCTTTGTGCATGCCACATTTTTCCAGTGAAATGTCCTGCTTGGCTGACCAAAGGCATCCCCTCTGCTTTCACTCCCAAAGTACAAATAGCTTGTTTCTTACCAATGCTTCTTTTTCTGCGAATGGGCACAGGACGGTTCTCTTGCACATGTTTAGCAGAATGAACACTGTAAGATCTCAAGTTTGTTTCTGAAACATCATCATATCCTAGAACAGGAAACAAAATGTTAAACCTCAGGTATGTGATGTGCACCAGTGTTGCTACAGTGCTGTTCCACAGGTAAAAATCTATGCTGTTCATAGGCACAAGACCAAATCCTGCTACAATCACTCTAATGTAACCCCTGTTAATGCAATTGCAAGGGCATAAGGCAGGGAGTAAAGACACAGACATTGAATATCATGTATAAGCATGCACAATTTAATTCCAATATCCATTTTACTGAAAGCTCCCAGAAACAGTGCACACGCTGTGGCACAGAACCATATCTAAAGTAAAACAGTTGCATTTTTATGTGAAAGGCATAATACGGCTTTTCTTACTGGAAAGGTGTAGAAATAGGAACAATAATCCTGCATGTGTAATGTTTCTTACAAAAATTTTGAAGTTCTGGTATCAGGCAACAGTAGAAAATATGGTATTAGACCCAACAGCAACAATGCTGCCTCTGTAAATTTTCTGTTGCTTGGTTTTTCAGGGCAGTACTAGGGCAGAATCAAAAGCAAAAAGTAACTAGCATGGGTTTCCTTTTAGCCTCTCTGTTGCAGAACAAATCCCCTGTGAAGTATCCTAACCTTTGGAGGGGCATCTGAAGCTACTGCAAACTCTGGGACTGCATCCAGGCTTGTCTTGTTCCCTAAATAAGCCTACCACATGGGTTAAAGGGCCATGAGAAAAAGCAAAGATGGGAAACTTGGCATTTCATTTATCACAAAAAACAACAAAATAACTGCTCCAACTATTTGGGTTTGTTAAGTGAAGCAGTTCAGGTCGTGTCCCATGCCGTGGGGTCTGAAAACCACAAGCACAGTCTGCAAACGGGGGATGAGGAAGAAGGAACCAAACAGAGAACTGCACATAGACCCCAGGACACCCAAACTAAGGGGTTTAGCACTCTGCTGCTTGGAGTGTCCTCTGGAACATCACTGCTGAGTTTCAAGGTTTCACTGCTGGCTCCTAAGAAAACTGTGACATGCTCTAAAAAAATGCAAAAGGGTATTACACAGTACTCAATTACCCTCTCTGCAAGCTACCAACACCCTCCACTCCCATCTTCTGCACTGTCACACTCCCTGCTTCCAGTTTGTTCTGTACACACAGCTGTCTGTCTCTGGAACGTGTTTTAATCTCAGCTTTATTAGTAACACACATCATAAGGCTCTGCTCCACAAAACAACCAACTCCTGTTCTCCTCCCTCCAAGAAATTGTGCCCTAAGGAACATGCAGCTTGTGAAATCACCTGTACAGCCAGGTGAGGCAGGAAGACAGATGGATCTTCAGCACCTTAGAAAGAGTTCTGCATCCCAGGGTTTATCATTAGTTCTTGGAAAATACTACTGTAAGTAGCTAAGAGAAAATAAAATCGGAGGTCCAAGAGGTAGTGCCAGGATCACCCACTAGTCCTGCCTCTTCTCCTTTATCAGCTGAACAGATCCTTGTATGAAATTAGTCATTAGTCTCAATTTATCCAAAGCAATTGGCTCCTAGTTCCTACCTATGGTACTTGTTTCCCCTAGATTTCGATGGGAAATTTTGGAACCTGACTAATTAGCCGGTACTGGGCCTTATTTGCAGTCCCAGTCCAGTAATGTAACACAGCAATGACTAAAGGGTATTATTTCTGCTTTTATTGCACCCCATACTCCAGAAAACTCATCAGTGGTATAAATAAAATGGCTTGCCAGAGATCCCACAGGAAGTTTGCAACTGAGCTGGGGAGTGGAGCCAGGTCTCCCACATCCCATTCCAATGGCACCAGGCCATCCACCTGATCCCAAATGGTGTTATACAAAATGAGGATCCGTTCTGATGTGCCTCCAGCCCTCTTCTGTTTCCTAGCACTCAGCCACCCAACACCTTAATACTGACCTCCTTTTTGGCAGCTTCAAGTTGTCACAACCTCTCCCTCAATTTGAGGCAATGAAATGATACTTGAAAGCAGCATGAATTCTGCTCAGCTAGTTTGGGAGCAAGAAGCATGTCCGTGCACAAGCAAACAGTGTTTAAAAGGAGATTAAACACAAAAGTAATGCCTCTAATCCCAACTGCTTGGTGGGCACAGGCATCAGGCTGGAAAGGGAAGCTGGCAGGGCTGCCAGCACTACAGCAGGGCTGGGCCATGGCTCCTAATCCCACACTCAGCAATGCTGGCACAGCTCCCTCCTAGCATGAAGGATCCCTTGCTGCCTCCTTGAAAGAAGCTGGTAAGAACCAAAGGACTGGTATGATCAGCTAACCAGTGTGTTAAGTCATGTGCTTACACATAACTGCTCGACTCAGCTGCAATCAGCCTTTTTCCATCACAAATTTTAAAACAAAATGACACCTCAAAGGGTTGTGTTGCTTATAAGATGATTTCTAAGGTGAAGAAGGCCTCTGGTTTATACTGTACCTCACTGTCTCACTACATATCTTAAGCATGTATAACAGTTCCTAAGTTCATGTCTCTCTGTGAGGGTTGCAAAAAGAAATCTACACAGCTAGCTCAGCAGAACAAGCTCCAGTCAAACCTCAGTGTGTTATCTAACATAAATTATATTATTTCTACCAACACATCATCCAAGTTTAGTTTAATAAACAGAATCATGGGGCATGGCTGGAGCCAGAAGACACTACAATGCTAAAGGCACTTAAGTGTCCCCCCTGATTCCCACAGACATTTGGAAGGAATTCCATTTCCCAGTGGAGTCAATGGGAAAATCAATGCACTTCAAGCAATGTTTAAGTCAACAGGAGTCTTGCCCAAGCAGGAGTGAAAAATCACCAAGTCAGCTTTGAAACTCACACTTGGCTCTGAATGTGTGGCCAAAAGACTTCGTTCTATGTCACTAAAACCACAATGCTACAAAGAATACTCTCTAGTTTGACTTTAAGGAAGGGTGATACTTCATTTGTATCAGTTTTTTCCCCCAAGGTACTGAATTAGTTGCAGGGTGAGGATAAGCTCTTAGCAAAGGAAATGTGAGTTTATGGGTTAGCACCTCACAAAATGAGGCTTGGAGCAGAAAGCCTAGAAATGGGTGGTTCTTAGTTTAGAACTCAAACACTGCTCATCACCAAGTGAAGATGGAGGATGCTGCACAGAGCCAGATTAGTGCAGCTTTCTTTTAACTTTTTAATAATAAAAAAATGTTTTCATGGCAGCCGATCAAGAAATTTCTCTGTAATCTTTTATGTACTGACAACATATCAATGATGGGCATAAAAACTCTTGCAATTAGCCTTGGTCAATCCATTAGTGTAGCTGAAATTGTTCTTTTTTGTCAGATTGGCAATTTTCCACTGGGTCATGGAATATAAATCACAGAGTTCCTGTGACATTCTGCCAATACATGATTACTCTTTTTACTCAAGAAGCATGTGGAAAGCATCCTAAGTTTACTGCTATTTTCTATTTATCAATTTATACTTTTGAATTTCCATCTTCTTACCAAACTATATTATGTGAGGTACAACTCCCAACGCATCCAGTCTTCATGCAAACCCTTCTAGATTGCACTTTGATACAAAGTACAGATCCAAGATTTCTAGAACCAACCGCAGGAGTTTAGGAAATTCTTATAATCTCATTTTTTTCAGAAATTCAATGTAAGGTACAATAAGCTGAAATGGTCTGTCTCACAATCGTTCCTAGAGCCAGAAACCCCACGGCAACATCAGTTTGGTTTTTTAATCTTCTTTTTGGCTGATGCAAAATTTGCCCTTCTGACATCCAACTGCAGAGATAGATGTCATTAAGTTTTCAACTTTGATCTGTTAAAGGAAATATAAGTAGCAGCTCGCAAGATCCTGTTTTGTTTAGGTTGTTTTTCTTTTTTTCTTTACCTAGTGTGATCAACCAGCTGTAAAGAAGGAGGAATATTCCCCCATCTCTCTACAGGCCACACATGGAAGATGCCTCTCATGATGTGTAAGAGGTGCAAGAGAAGCCAACACACTGCACTGTACCATCCTTCATGGAGCACCACACCAAAACCCACAAAGTCAAGAGCTCATTTTCCAAAAGACTGAGCTCTGCAGCAGCCCAACACTTTTTTCTATGGAAGTATACAGTTAATTTAGAACGTTTCTCCACTTAACAAAAGCTGCTCTGCTAGTTCTTAATCACAGGCCGTTAAATTCACATGGCCTAAGGTGACCCTGGTGGATGCCCTTAACCCGTGCAAAGAGGCACACTCAGCCCTGCCTCTCCCCAAGCAGGCAGATGACTTGGGGAAAAATCTGTTCCCAGCGGGAGGCAAGCATAATAGGTGATGAAATGAACTCTACCTCCCACAGGACAGATGGGAGAGGTGAAGCACGAGGAGGAAAAGCACGCTGCTGAGCCAGGGAGAGCTGCACAAGCAGAGCAGAGGAAATGCCCCCGTTTTGGGGGTTTAGTCTGCTCGTAGTAAAACTGTACTCGGCACACTAGAGCTGCCTACTTCCTGGGACTGTGCATGCTTTCTCCTTTAAACAGGGTCAGACTCTGCTCTCCTTCATGCCAAGGCAATTCTGTCACTGCCTCTGGATCCCAATCGCAGCAAATTAATACAAGACCCTGTTTCCTGGTAGAAATAGAGAATTTTCATGCTGCCTTTACCCTCTGAGTTGGACATGCAGAACTGGGCTCTGACAAACTGGCCTGGATTTTCTTTTTTGAATACAATGATAAGCTCCATGTTGGGTTGTGTTTTTCTTTAAGTAATATGCCAGATGGTCTGGGGGTGTGGTTTCTAATTTTATGAAGGGGGTTATCAGTCATCTCTGCGCTACAATATAGAGACCAAATCTGTCAGAATAGGAGAAAAACCTGCCCACTCTGACTTACAAAACTTACTTTTCCAATTAAAAATATATGTTTTGCAATGCAGGAGTGAAAATGACTGTTCTTCCTTCATTTTCCACAGATTCTGCCTTGTTACTCAGGAATATCAGACATTTTCTTCATGCATGCCTGATCCTGCAAACTCTTAGCCTACAAGATCATTCTTAATTCTCAAGTCC